TCTCCTATTTCAACAAATCTTCAAAATCTATTTATCTGGATTGTAACTTCCAAAGTCTAAGTGTTTCCTTCATAGAGTTAACATATTTGATATTGTTATGACTGGTGGTCGACTGTTATGACTGCGTCACCAATTGTTATATCTGTCGTCGCAATCGTTTATCACTTATAATTATAAGGCAAGGAAAAACTACAGTTCCCATGACGCGAAATTACGAACACAAAGACTGGTATAAGTGAAGATTTGTTAATCCCAAAACACGACGACGACGACCCTAGTCAAAAATACACTCATTTATATATTGATTCATACACCCAGTTTGATTGATAATTAGAATAAAATGACATATATGAACAATACTTACAGCTATGACAAATCACATGCTGCATGTCATGTTGAGCATAGTTCAGGTCAATTGAATACAATAATATCGTACATTATACAGAATAAAGAGTCATACGGGAAAACAAAATCTTCATATCACGCTTACTACGACACATGTAAACGAGCCTATAGCATTTCTATTCTTTAGCAAGAATATTCATATAGATTATTGAATACAAATCCAGTGATTTATATTCTTGATTTTAATCAGTTATCAATATAGGTAGATCATCAAGCGGACACTGATGCTGGCAGTCTGGCGTTAAAGGTACATCAGCTCTATAGTTACTGCTTCTCACTAGAACACGTCATGTATTTTTCGCAAAGCAAGTCTTACATAATATATACATAAATATTTGATTTCTTAATATTTATTCAATTTCAAAACGGTTCTTATCATCAACACCAGTCTAAATATTATTTTATGATAGTTTTCTTTAAAATGTCCATAACCTTTAAGTAGTAAGACTATTATACTAAACAACAATAAATTGTTTTATCTAAAGTAACTTGACTATTTCGTTAAAGCATACGTACAACATGTGAATTACACTTTTTCTGTTGGAAGCCGAAATGTAATTAAGAATTTTCTTGATCATTAAAATGTCGATATCTAATCAGGATTAATGGAAAGTAAATAGAACCAACCTAATCGTTCTATTATAGAATATATATTATAGAACTGTATAGAATTTAGCCCTACACAACTTAGTTTTACTCTACTTATACAAAATTGTGTCGTTTAACCTCATACAAAATATATACTCTAACGACAAGTGAATGAATATGCATTCGACTGATTAGTTCCATTTAATACCTGTATTACTCATTTAAGAAATTTTGCTGTAAATTTTAAAAAATCTAGCTTTAAATTATATGAGATTAGTTACAGCTTCTAGATAACAAATAACTTTAAAAGTGACCATATCTACCCTAGCTCACTTTCTATACAGTTGAAGAGAAAAAGAAGCAAATAATACAAAAAAAACAAGTTAAGGTTTTCGAACAAAATTAGCTATCTAGTGTTAAGTTTTCAAACCGCCATGAATTCACCCTTAGAATGTAAAAATAACTCAAATTTTATTGAATAGCAAAGTCATGTGCGTCTGACTCATGCAATCATTTAACCGGTTCCAATGAATTATTATTATTTCTTAAATAGCATTGGCATTTCAAAGTTATTCATTATATTTTCAAGGGACTTTTTGTTGTTTCTATGCTTAATTATTAATAATAGTAATAAATATGTGTTTATTTAGTTATTTAAACAGCATAAACAACAAACTTTAGTCAGTATATAAGATTTGGCAAAATTAGATAAAGCGTAAAATGATATTATCAGACTAAAAATATATTTTGTATATTAGTTATTTTTGGCGTGATATACTTTCTTGTATTAAAAGGCTTATAATAGATAAGTGTACAGACCAAATCAAATCATACATAACAAGATATAAATAAATGTTGAACTATGAATTCATCTAAATCTTTTTGTTTGTATTTTAAACCAAAATACTCATTGAGACATAAGTAGTTGAATAAATATGTATTCTTTCAGTGATTTCATTATAATAATTTCAATTACATAATGAAGATAAAAATGCATCCATTAAGTTTGAGGTGTTTCAAATTCATTGTGATGATGAATTTGTTTGTTTCAATTGAATAACTAGTTTTTACAATATTTTCTATTATTAGATTCCTTATATGCCAACCTATAGCGCATTTTTAATTTTTATCCGCTCCAAGTGAGTTCAAGAATACTCTCATCCGTGGTTGTGTAGGGGCAACACCTCATATAAACGAAGTACACAAATAGAAAAATCATTGAACATTATTCATTCGATTGAGTCAAACTAAACATTCGTAACAACCTATGTAGTGGATACACAACTATTGGAACCAGAGAAGTTCCTTTTCTCTTCCCCCATGATAATAATAATATGATAATAATATTAATAATAATCACCCTATTCAGCACCTAAGTTTGATTAAAGTGGATAGCTTGCAGCACAAATCGTGCAATATCCTAACTTATATTTACTGAACTTCACCTCCGTAATATCATGGTAAACAGTTTGGTTTTGTAACTATGATTCTTTGTCTAGTCTCTATGCCAGTTTTGAATTATCATTTGAGGTCCTGTAGCAGTCACGTTGCTATCCTTTACACACATATAATACCTATTGTGTTTTTACTAACTTGTTATCCTGATCGAGCCATTATTATCAAATATACATTATTATTTTAAAGTTGAAAATATATTTGCGAATGCAGAACCTCAATATTTAGATCCCCAGAAAGCTATGTTTCTTTCCTAAACCATGCTATCTTGTTTAAAATTCCATTTCTGAGTAACGAAACTCCACTAGGAGACAAAAATAGATTTATCTCATTTTTTCAAAGGATATAATCTGTTTGTTTGGTAGTTTTGGGTAAATTTGCATTTTAAAATGCAGAATTAGTTGATGATAGACCACACTGTCTCTCACATTAGAACCAAATCATTACTAGTTAAGATCAAAGAAGATACGTTTAATATCTTTTGTTTTTGTTTAAACCCCCACGACGAGTAACAGGCGTAAGTAAGTAAGTCTTTGTTTGAGACAAAATCAGTCGGCTCCATTTGATTATAAGTTAACTTGGGCAAAACTTTATTTATTACCTAAAGACATCTGAGATCGAGATATTCTACACCATTAATTAAAATGGAGGTAGTTCATAAAATATATATAAATTTCAAGTGAAATTGTGTTTTTAACATGCAAAAACCCCATAGAGAATTGTATTTATCAGTTTTATGTCCAGACAATTAGATGAAGTAATAACACGTGAGCATAATGCAGTGACTTTATTTGGCGATTAGCCCTCAAATACTGTTGATAATGTTATTATTCATATTTTTAAAACATTTAGTTAGGGTATGATGGTTACATTTGGTCTACTGTATTATCAGTGATCATTATCTATGAATTACAAAGCAATTTAAGAGAAAGTAAATGACTGGTGTTAGAGATATTTCAAAGGCTACAAAATGTGATACTAATATCATATGTGACTGAAAGACTATTTTTCAATGGATTCTGTATTTTGGTTTTATTTTAAACCTCACAACTTGTTAAACTGAGCATCATTTAGTGAATAAATAGGAGGACAAAAACTTGTCTTTTGCTCTTAACTGCATTAATACACATTTTAACTTAGTCTATACTATTACATAAAAAATGTAAGTTATTATCACTTGAAAATGTACATCCGTGGCTAATGACTTCGTTAGATCCATGAAACAACTGAACGTAAAATAACAACATACTATTATCTGGGAGTTTTAATAATAGCTTTGGTGTTGACTTCTCCTGAAAAGTATTTTTTACGGGATGTATAAATAAACAATTTATGGGGGGTTATTTTCTTTTTACTTGTAAATGTTGTATATATATACTTCAAAGCATAAAAGCAGTGTAAAATGTTAATGTATTCACTGCTTTTGTTAGTCATAACAGCTCTTGACTATAGCCTGAAAGCAATGATTTCAGGAAAAATAGTAGGTAGCGTTTACGTTCGTATGATTATTGTTGAATATCGTTTGTCTTCAAGCAGATAGAGTGACAGGTACGAACTTAGGTTGCAAAGTATCACTATTGGCTAGATAGGTACTTCAAAAGGACCCACTTGCCGGAAGTTTCAAAAGCAATGTCTTTATTAAAGCTCAGAAGAGAATACAAAACATATATGGGTCTTTCATATCTACAAAGCGAGAGCTTTCTCATAAACTAACGATAATTAATGAGAAACGACACAGTTTCAAAGAAATGTACTCGAACGACGACCATATTTCTGAGCAAACGCCGAAGAGATCCCTTAACTAGCATCTCATGAACTCTTGTCAATAATCAGGTGGGAAATACATATAATTTATTTTGATTTGTAATTTTAGAGAACAGAACAATCATGATACACATTTCTGACACTAAAGAATACACCTATGTCGTATAAAAAAGAACCATCACGCTAACATCTGGCGCAATGGATACATCAACAATAATCAGCCTATAGAAGTTTATTAGGCTTCCGACTCACTAATAACTAAAACTACATAGACGGTTTATTTTCAAAATATGCGATGTTAAGGTCAACGACTTCTCTAAGACCTTGTAAAGAGAAAACACACCATTTAATGAGACGATCTAACAATGCAGCGAAAAATGAATAAATAACAGGTTAATTTTTGAGTTAAGTTTAAATTATCACTGATGAAACAGTGATACCTTTCCAACGTTCACTACCAGTCCATACAGAGATGTGCGATGACACGTTATGAAATATTTTTATATTACTTTATGTAAATTAGATCATTTAAACAGTAGTCTCGTTAAATATACTTTTGTATATGTGGTGTTGAGAATAATAACGGACGTTTTGGACACTTTATTTTTAGTGAGAATATTCCTAAATATATCTTTTCCAGATTTTCAGTTTCAACAAATCCTTTATGGAAACTTCCAAATAGGAATCAGCAGAGAATAAATACATTTCACGAAAAACATCAATGATTCGAATTTATTATAAACCAAAACAAACTTCATGTTATTAAGAGTGAAACCTTCACGATTTACCTGCGTTTCCTTTCACTTCGACTGAGAAATTGTGGTCTTTAACGTGTAAAGTTTGGTTTTGAAGTCCATTTAAGTCCACATTTATTGGAGCCAGTGATTCGTCAAGCCTCATTGACATTGTGTTTAAGTTGATTGGGGATTGCTTTGTTCCTCCAGCATTAGGAAAGCGTAACACCCATGTATGAGGGCCTTAATATGTATTTATAGTAAAACGTTTTTTACCATTTTTCTCTCCATAGTCATATGACATCTTTTGTGCTTAACGTGCGAGACGTTTTCGGGGAACGAAAAGCCATACTAACCTATAGCTTATTAAATACGTCCAAAATGACCTTGTAACAAAAATAGCTGACTAAAACACAACAGGCGTTATTCTCATTTCGGCATGAAGAATACGTTAAGCTATGGGTTCTTTTGCCCATGTCAGGTGTTATTGAGTATTTTGAATATCTCTTTTTATAAGCTGTGAACAGCATTTTTGTCTCCACTTGTCAATTTTCGTGTTTGTGCTTATTACATAGCTTTAATCCCAGTTTATTAGTATTTTGATATAGTTACTGTTAGCTATCTGGGTGGATGATAAGTCGGGTTTGATGTGGCTATTTGTATTGGTCTGAATTCAAGTAAGTGAAGTGCACTAATTGACACTGATAGCCGGGTACTCACATGGTAATTGTCACAAACAGTTACGCATTAAAACTATCGGTATGCCTCCCATGAAATTACAATGAAGACAAAAATAACAATCATGAAGAATTTATTGATACCTCATTACTGATGGTAAAGGATGAACAACATTCGCTGCACAAAAACAAGTTTACAAGTTCTATGTATAGTTAAGTTAAAGTACAACTGAAGAGACCTTCTTATGGTAAATAGAGTTCCTATCACGTGCCCACACCTTCCTATATTCCGAGATATGATTTCTCCGTAGACTAGACTACACAAAAATAAGCATTGGAGAAACTGGAGTTCTACCAAGTTATTGACGATTCTTAACTAATAGTTGTCGACTTTTCTCCTCACAATCATCACGAACCGCTTACCATATATATCCACAATCTGTCGTTAGTTTATTTCATGGTTTCTTTAAATCTGTACCTACTGTGTCTTTAGCGTGGAGAACGAAACGGTTCTGTTAGTATATATGTGCTTTCCATCGACTACAGTTTCTAAGAATATGAATAACTATGAGGTTTATACTTCTTAATTGGTTGAAATTACCTTTTAGAGTTCATTTTCTTATGTATGCCAGAAGCACATGAAAACAAGTATACTGGGATATAACACACATTGAACAGTCACACTCATAAAAGCTTACATCTACCTTATTAGGTCTGCTGCAGTCAGTCATAAACATCCAATCACTGTCTTTATATTCCAAATAGAAAAAGCACAACCTTTTCGATTTCGTTAAAACCTCCCTCCATGTAAAAATATCAAGTTGGCTAACTATTTGAAGTAATCGTACCACCTACCGGCCCTAACATGTCTTCACCAGTTACTCTTACCGATGTTATGGTATTCCATCGGAATAACTTGTAAATACATTTGTGCAAACTATCATTTTTCCGTACATATCTTTTTTGATGGTTCAATGACTTCACACAATTATTGGTGTTGTTAACAAAAGTCAAAACATATGCACTGAACTCTGCGGCCGACATGGTTTTACAAGACATACAATACCTAGAAACATACTATCCGATTCGCATGACCGTTTGGTAAATCATTTTAAAACACTGATTTACTCTACAAAATAAATACGTTTCAATCAATCATTCCAACAGTTTCGGCGGTTACTATTTCTCTGAAGTAATTGCTTCCTTACGCCTGTTATCCCTCATGGAGGAGCATGGGCCACCCACGAGCTTTTCCCATCCAACCCTGTCCTGGACAACCCTTTTCAATTGGTCCTAGTTACTGTTCATTCTTTTGATTTCTGCACCCAATTCCCGACGCAATATGTTCCATGGTCTTTCTCTTCCCCTTCAAGATTCCAAGTTAGCGTTTGCCTCGTGATGCAGTTTGGTGATTTAGGTAATAAATGTTCTATCTACTTCCAACGCCTTCTTTTACTTTCCTCTAAGGCTGGAAGTTGGTTTGTTCTATCCCACAGTAGGCTGTTGCTAATGGTGTCTGGTCAACGGATATTGTGTATCTTGCGCAGACAATTGTTCATCAATACCTCTACCTTTTTGGTGATGGTTGAGGTAGTTCTCCACGCTTCAGCCTTATATAGTAGGGCCGTCTTGATTTTCGCATCAAAGATTCTGAATTTGATATTGGTTGAGAGTTGTTTTGAGTTCCACGTGTCCTAGAACTGTAGGCATGTGGCCCATGCTTTGCCAATCCTCACGTTTACCTCCACATTCGATCCTCCTTGTTCATCGATCGTTCTGCCCAAGTACGTAAACGTTTCCACCTCTTCTACAGCTTCATCGTCAAGTGTGACTGGGTTGGTGTTCTCTGTGTTCTGTTTCAGGATCTTGCTTTTTTCCTTTTGTATGATAGGGCCTGCTGATGCAGAGGCTGCTGATGTACTATTTGTCTTGACCTGCATTTGTCTATGTGTATGGGATAAAAGTGCCAGGTAGTCTTTGAACTCCAAATCACTTACTGGCATCCAACCTGTCCATATTATTACATACTTCCCCTTAGATGTGGAGGTCTTCATAACCCATTCAACCAACAGAAGAAAGAGAAACGAGGAGAGTGAGCAACCTTGTCTGACACCAATCGTCGCCTAGAATGTATCCGTCAGCTGTTCTTCATGCAAAACTCTGCAGCGCAGTCCGTCGTATGAATTCCGTATGATAATGAAGATCTTCTTAGGTATAAAGTAGTGCCAAAGAACGTTCCACAATGTTCTTCTATCCAGCTGTCAAACGTATTCTGACAGTCAAGGAAGTCGGTGCATAGTGACGAATTCCATTGAAATGATCGCTTAACAATGATCTGTAACAACTTGGGTTTATTATTTAAGAGTTGACCTCAAACAACCAAGTATATATCAAAACAATAGAGCTCAAGTATTCATTCAGTTGCTTATTTCGTATAGGCATTACATTCCCTGTTATCTTATATCGAATGTTGAAAATCTTTGTGTATCTGAACAGGTTGTAAGATTCATCATGAATGTTTTGTGTGTGAAAATCTCTCCACGTATACACTTGTAGTTTGTTCCTATTGATTTCTTTAGTTGTACATTTTGATAGTCTTTTTGATTCTATTTGAAATGTTAATATTTGTATTTTATTATAAATTTTATTTTTCTTACGCGTTCACTAAGTTTCCATGTTTCTTCTTGAACTTCATTTATGTTGTTTTACTTGGTGCTAAGTCTTGGCAGCAGCCATATTGGTTTGTTCCTCCTTTTCATTGTGTTGCTTGCACTGACTGGAATTGTGCATTTTTGATTGTGAATTGAAGCACTCTTCTAGAATTAGAAAAACTCTCTGTGTTATAAAGCAATCAAATATTATTTTTTGAAAGAATCTGTGCGTGGTCTATCCAAACAGGAAATAACAACATTTATTTGTTGTGATTGGTAATTTTCTCGCATCCTTTATCAACCTCCGTATTTGTTGTAATTTAGATTTGATCACCTGAACAATTATTGGTTGGATAGCTGGGTGATCGTATTTGTTTAGATAACAATTTACATTTGCATTTATAATGAGTTTCAGAACCGTCATTTTACCCAACCACTGTTTTGGTTTCAACTGGGCAAGGATGCGTATCTAACCCACCTAGACAGTTACTCTTCAGTCCAAACCTTATTTTGAAGTTAACACAGGTAACCTCTCGCTCCACTATCATTAGTTAGAGACTCAATTTTGATGTTTGCGTCGATTGATCCGCGTTGTGTACATTACTCTATCTATCTGTCTATCTGATATTGTCTTGAGCTTTTTTAGAATTATTTTGCTTAAAACGAAATTTCTGACTAACTACTAACCTGTAACTTTGCACCACTTAATCTGGTATTCGTGTTTGTAGTTATCGTGTGTGTCATAGTTGCAATACTTTTGTTGTGCATGTTACATAATAGACCAAAACACGAAATAGGATACAATTCGCGGAGGAAATGCACATCTGAACTTTGAGGGTGAAACATAATAAGGATAAGTGAACATATGCTACATGAGAACAGAAGTAAAAACGTACTGTGTATACAATTTAATATGTATATTTGTGAAACAAAATAAGTGGGAATATATGTATTATAAAATGGATTAAAAAGTGAGTCATTAATGCAATTATACTGGATGGTAGAATATTAGTTTAGGAAGTAATCGTTAAGAATGATGCGATGAAAAGTTTAGTTATTTGCAAAGAATTCCATCAGCCATCAATTATTATGGGTCATATATACGTGTTAAACATGAAAAGAACTTGAAAACGTAATCAGTTTTGGTGTAAAACAACATACTGTGTTTTTATTAATAAAATTTAGATAGGTAAATGTGAGACATACATTGAGGTAAAAGTGAGAAAAAAAATCATTCAAAGTCCTAAAAGGTCAACGACAATGATGTTATAGTTCACACTGACGCATAATTTCCAAGTCACTTTCGTAAAATTGCTTCGAAGATGAATAGCAACATAATATACACTTTCGTAAGTTCATTTAAGGAAGAGAGGAATGGAGCACAATTACTCCTAGTCCCAACATTGATAGAAGAAAACAGAAAGGTCTGTGGTAAAGGAAACACAAGCTATATAAAATTGCATCCCCAATATGTATTGTTCATCTCCAAACTGGGAATTTCCGTGATACTTATCAAAAATAGATCTAAACAGTTTGCCACCATCCTGAACTTTCTGCTTATAGCCTCGTACTAGGTAAACTATTTTTCTGACCAAGCATGTATGCAGGTCCGGAATGTGATGTAAAGATATGTTGTCACTCTGAGCTAAAGCTATCCAAAAAATTTTTATGCTTATCTTCTTACCATGGCTGTAATATCATAAATGCTTACTGGTGCAGCTCTCGATGAATCTCATCGGCCCTTGGCTTAATTTATTTCTTGAAGCGATCTCTCTTGGGTTTAAATGTCACTAAGATATGCTGCACTGACATAACATCTCATCCAGAGGTGTGAAGACTGGCATAACGAGAATCAATACGGCCATTGAGGTAACGGTTAGCCCTCTAAGACATCTATCGGATGACATGATTCTGGTATTCATTAGTTAGTCATCTTGAAAATCAATGCTTAACACTGAAAAAAATCTTAGATTGCTGTGGTGACAAGTATTTTGCAGTGGCATTCTTGTGAGTCTCGGCAAATACTCAGAAAGATTAAAATAATTGTAACGCTGCAAC